AATAAATCCTGTACCTCATGATATTCAGTGAGGCAGCAAAGAACTGCAGGGATTCAAGGACCACTGAAAACCTGGCAGTGTCAACACTGTCAGTGACCATGACATTCTGTAAAACAAAGGCCCTTCTTCTGTTTTTTGTAGCATCATGTAAACCTCCATGATTCTGGTGTGAGCCCTAAAAAGGAGGATAACTCAGTAAGGACTGACATGGATTCTCCTATAGCTTGGTGACATGTGAGTTGGGAGTTGTAGTTAAGTTGATGAAGAAAATGGAGCTGAAGTATTTTTTGTAGCACAGACTGTCAATACAGATTGATGTCACTGTGTAGCCTGCAACAAAATTAAGTCAATTTATCAACAGAACATTAAAAGTTGAGGGGAGAAACATCTTAAAGACATTTTTCATGAATAAGAAATGATGGCTGGAAATCAGCATGACAATTCCTATCACTCCCAGTTTAAGATGAACAAAAGGGTCATTGATAATGTCTACCTCTAACTGTTTTACTTTAGCAAATATAAGAAATATTAATGAAGGCTCCCTTAAAGGGAGAGTCTTCCTGTTTAATCTTATTTTTTCACACAATGTTGAAAAATGTTCAATCAAATATACAAATAGCTCCAGGGTTCCTGGAATAAAACCCTCAGGCTATTGACATTACACCATTCTTAGTACACCCCACTAATTAACACATTATTTATTCATTCAGTTACCATAACTGGTGAGAGTATCCTGAAATTTTTGGGGGAGTGGGGCTAAAACAGAAGTTGTTTCCAAGTTTCCCATCAAAGTTTCTAGGCCAAATAATGTGTCAGTGCCAATAAATTTTGGAGGTAGGGCCAGAAATTTTAGGGCATTTTGAGAGGAATTATCTTAGATGAATGTTTACAAGCTCAGTCAAATATCTAGTCACGTCACTGTGGCATAAGTTTTCTTGATTGTATTGGATTTGAAACTGAGCACACAATTCCTAGTTAATGAAATTTGTGTTTTTATTCAGGAGCTGGCACTGAACAATGTGGAGAGTTCTGTAGTTCATTCTTCTATTTCCCATGTGGATGATTTGCTTTGTGAACAGCTAATTGCAACATTATTAGAGGAATCTTAGCCTCTTTTCCTAATGTGTAAAAACCTAGTGGTGCTTCATAAGAGGATTCAGAAAATTACAAACAGAAGAAAATAGATTATAGGCCATTTTATACTTAATGATATGCAAAGGCTTTTACATTTGAACATGACTGTATTACTATTATTTGGAGGCAAATGGATTTAAACAATTCAGAATAACAGATGTAATGTTTTTATGCTGAGCTCTGACAATAATCAGTGGAATTAAAAACTATTCATATACTGAATTACATCTTGACTTCCATAGGTATTAATTTATAACAGCAGGCAAAATTGCAAACTCCTTAAAACTCAGACTGTTTCTGTGGTTGTATCTCCGTGAAAGATAACTGGTATTTTCTCATACAGGTAAGACAACTAAATATGTACAAGTCTTCAAGGCTAGATCTGCGATTTTGCAGATAGTACCCAATTTAGCCTGTGTTCTCTTACATGTGGGTGGATTGATTTTAACCATCTTGGAAAGAAAAAAGATTACTGAAATGCTATTCATAGTTTAAACCAAGCTAAAATAGCTTATGATTGCTGAGATTTCCAGGGAGCAGAAGAATAAATGACGCAAAGAGAATCTCAGTCTTATCCCTCTTTCATTTCCAGTTCTTAGGGATTGGTTTTAGGTCTTGGATAAGAAAATGTTATGGAACTTCACTGACATCTAGTGGCCATATATAGGATGCAGGTATGTTTTTTCTTGGGTAGGAACAAGTGATACAGCAAGAATAGTAACTATCTTTATCCCAAACCAATTTTCCCGCATCCCAAATTTGACCAGTTTTTATTATTGTTAGTTTATTTATTTAAACCAGGTGCACAATGTAATGAGTAGCAGAAAGCTAATCACAGTGGGTTCCATCTTTAAGCAGTTAGAAAGACCAAAGAATAAGACATAATAGTGCACAAGTATCTTTTTCACTTAAAATGAATCAGGTGATTATAATATGAATAAAGAAGAGTTTGAAAACAGACCTTGATTATGCTACATTTTCATTATTTCTCCCAGGAAGCATCTTTTCAGTGGATATGAGTAAATATCTCAGTTAGAATTGGACTTTCCCAGAATAATACAGCGATGACAATGTGCAGATAGATGTTTTCTTACCTCAGCTCCCTTGGCAGATACTTCCAGGAGGAAAGAAGGAACAAGGAACAGAAAAAGATAATCTTAAAAATGTCTTTTCCAGCTTTGGATTTAGTAAAGAAAAAAGTAAAATAACCCAGATGATGCATTATTTCAGAAGTTAAGAACTTCTTGTAAACACAAAGTTTCCCCAGGGTAGGTAAGGAAAATGTCAGACACCTCTTCAAGATGTCAATTCTGAGTTCACTATATTAAAGAATAACATTCTATATAAGAAAATAAAAAGTAAAAAATGTAAACAAATTAAAGACAGATGTGTACCTGTATGTCAATACCCACAGTGTGTGTCTTCTCAGAACTATAAATGCCTAGGAACAGGCAGTGCTAAAAATATCCCACAGAACCAGACACTGTGAAGGTCCTTGAAGTACCTCAGTGGATGTATTTAACCATCAGGAGGAAATGACTATTAAAATGGTGTCATGGAGCCAGCTCCTCTCAGTTCACACGCTGTCTTCCTACTCCAAGGGACTCTTCTATCTCTTGAGTAACCATTCCCAATCCTAAAATGATGGAAGTAACAAATAGTAACAGATGTTTAAGCAGCTCACCACAGTGTGCAAAGTGTTTTTAAACCTGCTTGTGAAAAGTGGGCCAGGGAGATAGCTCAGTGGCACAAGCCCCTGCCTCGCAAGTGTAAGGTCCGGAGTTTGATTCCTGTTACCAAAAAAAAAAAAAAAAAAAAAGTAAATGCTACCATTCTCCTTATAGATTATAGGAACTGAGCCATGAGGAAATTTTGGAAATTTTTCAGACCAGAAGTGTATGATCTGCTGTTCCAGTTGAGCCTTCTGAGCACAAAGTTTCATGTAATAACCGTTAAAAGGTCTTATCCCTTCCAGAAATACCTTCAACTTAGAGGTAACTTCAAAAAGGAACCTAAAAACTAAAACTAAAAGCTAAAGGGTTAAAAACTAAAGGGTTAACTACGCAGTACTGGTCTTTTCAGATCACGTCTGCAGTACTCTGTTCTAAATCATGAGTAGCCTCCCACCCTGGCTTCTCCATGATTAGCCCTGCTCTGAGAGAAAATATCAGCTTCTAGCCTGCCTCATCTGGGAAGTAATTCTATAACATCTTAGATCAGTGTTTTGCTGTTAATCATTAATTATAACATTCTTATTAAGTGTAGCATAAATTTGTATTTGCCATGTTTCTGATTTACATAACCAGCTGCAGAAAAGTCTTAATCTGTTCTCCGTAACAGAGTCACTTAATTACTACCTTTCATTTACTTTAATTACTATATGATTTATTATATTTCTGGAAGTATTAATAATGAAACAACTGTCTCTATTCCCCTATTCTGACCTAAATTTAACAGTAACACTAATCAACTATTTATACATATGTTTTTATCATGACCAAAACAGAAAATAGTAGAAATATTTTTAAATATTATAAAGGGAAAGAATCAACTCTGGAGGGAATTCAGCATTCTTGCGTTCGAGGTCTGTCTCTGCTTTCAGCAAAGTATGTGGCCTGGGACAACACACTTAATCTACATCTGAATTTCCAGATGTGGGAAAATGGTTTCTGGGCCATTTATTTTTATTGGTGTTCAGTTTACATGCTGCTAATCATTTATTGGTAATTAAGCAAAGAGCTGAAACTATTTTTCTCTTTGTTTCATTGTATCTTTAGTCTTTAAGCATACATGAGTGTCTCAGAGTACCCAGACAGAACCTATTCATTCTCTAAAGTCATTATGAAGAGAAAAATGCAAAGAATAGAGAGAATGCACATGAGGCCTCAGATCAAGGTGGACATAGATCAGCATGGGAGACTGGTGGAGAATTACCATTATCTTTGCACTCACTGATTTTTCAGTGTTTATTGAGAAATTCACCATTGAAAAAATATTGGTCATCTTATTAAAACTTTGTTTTCAGAAGTGAGGGTACCACATAGTGTCAAGATATTTATAATCTGGTCACCTTTGGAGTAGAAAGAACAGATACGAAAGAGAAGAAATTGAAGAATTAAAGTAAAGAGGATTTTAAAAGTCTTAAAAGATACTCATTAGGAGAAATGTTTACCTACTGCTTACCTGCAAATAGACAGAGAAACTGTCATAGTAAAAATTCAAAAGAATATATTTTATCAATATTTTTTTACATAGGTTCTTGCTAAGTTGCTCAGGCTGGCCTGGAACTAACAGTCCTCCTGCCTCAGCCTCCTGAGTAGCTGATACTGGGCTCCTGGCTCGCCAAATATTTTAAGTCCAAAAAGAAACTGCTGAATGTAAGATTTCATACATCAAATAATGTCAGATAAGTAATTCCAAGTACTGTGTACACAGTTAAAGACTAAAAGGGAAGCAAAACAAAAACTCCAAACTTTTACTTTATATAGAAATCTTAAAATCTCAGTAACTAGGTTTTAGAATTAATGTTAAGTTCATGAGACCATTTCTTTTGTAACCACAGCACTTCATGCAAAAACCTGGTATGCACAGTGGGATCAGTAAATATTCGTTAATGAATGACCAGAAGCGGTGTCTTTGGGTTGAAGTAGTTTGGGTTGTTGGAGATAGGTACATAGACTTGGGAGAATTGACAGCTTATAGATAGACTAATATCCAAAGAAAAAGCAAGAAAAATCATAAAAACCAAACATAAGGGCCATTAACTTAAAGACTAATGATCATATACCTGTTATTATCCTCTGACAGCTTCTATAGCACAGATCCAAAAACAGTTGTCATGAACAATAATGATCTGAAGTCATTAGGAAGATACTAAATTTTGTTTAATATGCCACATTTAATCAAAGTCAAGGAGGGAGTTGTACAATGAACTTTAACAATATTTCCACTGGACAGGATTAAAATATTCAGTTAGAATACCTAGTCCCTTGCCATGGTAGATTTCCTTCTCAAAATTTAATTGTGATGATATAATGCCATGTACCTTAAATCCCTCCCCTCCAATTTTGTATTCTATTCGAGGACATCTAATTCAATAGTATCTCTTGTAGACACTGAAAGTATGCGTTTTCTTTGTGATTTATTGCATTTCCCAGTGCAGAATTTTAATATATTCCGCATATCAGATCTTCCTGTTTCAGTTACAAAGCAGTAGAGAAGTGGATCAGCCACGCAATTTAGACTTGTTAATGCAACAGTAATTCTATACATTGCATACGTCTGCTTTCCGGACTTGTGGTCATCAAGGTTGACATCACGCTCTAAAATGCAGCGGATCAACAACATCACATGAAAGGGAGTAAAGCACAGGACAAACGTCAGTGTGATGCTGATGAGCAGTTTGATGATTCTTATCTTTTCAGTGTTTTCTGTGGCTTGATTATGCTGCACAGCTTTGTAGACTTTCTGGTTGCAAATCAGGATGATGACCAAAGGTGCTGCATAGCCTGTGCACATTCTAAACAAGTTGAGGTTGATTTGCCATTTCTCCAAAGGGTATTTGTCATAACATAAAGTAAATGACTTTTGGTCATTACAGTATTCAGTAGAGGTTTCATCTTCCCACAGAATGACAGAATTAAAGATGGATTCCATTACCCAGATGGATAGGCTGACCACGAATGCAAATTTTCTTGTTCTTAGTAAAAGAAACTTCAAAGGGTAGACTACCGCTAGATACCGATCAACGGCGATGCAGGTGAGAAATCCTGTGCTGCTGTAAAAGTTCAAGTACATGAAGAAAGCACTTCCTTTGCACAAGGCAGAAGAGAAAGTCCAGTTGTCTTTATTCCAAGTATAATTAACCCACAGAGGGAGAGTTAATGAATATAGCAAATCTGACAGTGATAAGCTGAAGAGGTAAATTCCTAGTTCATTTGCCTTCTTTGCTTGCAGAAAAGACACACAGAGAGATCCAATATTGGCTGGGACACTGATTACAATCACAAAGATGTAGACGATTGGGAACAAATAATGATCCACATCATGCTGTTCTTCAGTGCACGTGCTGTTCATTGTTTCCTTTTTAAGGGAGCAATGGCATTAGTCCCTAGAAGGTAAACAGGAAAATAAGTCTTGCCTCATTGTAGTTTATTTTCAACATCAGATTTTCTTTTACTCAGAATTCTTTTCAATTTTCCTGTGGTTTCAAAAGCTCTAATGAATTCATCAGTGCTCTGAAAGGGTAGGAGTACACCATACAGATTATCAGATGGAAGTCAGAATCCAGGCTCAGGGCAGCTAGCTAAAATGATCAGCTCAATTTAATGAGCACAAATAGACATGTTAATTGTCACAGCTCATGATATGGAACCCCCAGGGTCAACTGGGGAATCTCTTAGCTTCCATGGAGTGCTGTCCCATTCTTCAGAAATCTCACAGGAGATTGGTGCAAACATGAATAGATCTAAGGCTTTGTTTTCACAGAGATGGGTATCTTTTAAAAGTACTTTCCTTTCTGGAATGAAGGATGAACTAGAACAGAGTAGATCTTTAAAAGATGCATAACCTCATTGCAATTATGATTTTGAAGCAATCTTGTTGCATTTATTGAAGATATTTAAATGGAAAAAAATTTAACTGTGTTTAATAAGGAAACCCGAGCAGAGATATTTTTACCTACTTCAAATAAGAACTGCCCAAGGGATGCTAGATTAGAGGGAATTATATTTCATACCAGACACAAAGTAACAATCAAAGCTAAAGTTAAAAGTCATTTCAGCAGGTAAACAGAAATTTAAATACTTAGTAAGTGCTTTTGGTGTGTGATAAACACTATGGTTATATAATTTTAGATGTTAAATTTTTAATGCAAGCTAGGCAAAGACATTTTCAATATCACCTTATTAATCAGGAAAATATTTCCATTAAAAAGTGATAAAGTTGACTTTTGAAATATAGCAGCTTGAGAGCCTTAATACATAATTAGACAACCTCATCTTTTCTGTTTATCTTTTGCTTCCTTTGTGGATTAACACATTTGTCTCACATATACTTTCATATGTAGGAGGTAGGATAGTTTCAATTCTAGGTGAAATTTTGTGATCAACAAGTTCCACTTTTATTAGGTTTGTCTATTTTTAAAGCCATAATGTCATAAATTCACAGGAGAGTGGAGTATGCATATTTCTATTCAAGCTGGAATACAGAAATGTTTCTGTACTCTTTTGTAAACGGGGCTTTTGCTGGTTTGGAAAATGTACATAATGAGGACCCCATCATAGGGAACTTTTCAGGGATGCTATGCGGTGCATCAGAACCACTCACTTGCAAGTGTTGATAAATCTTAAGCATGAAAGAAATTTGCTATGACAAGGATCAGGATTCTGCTAGTAGAGCAAGTCATACCCAGAATGCATATTGTATCTTACTCTTAAAGCAGAGAACATAAACTTTTAAGATCTTGTTTTGCTACCTAAAAATATGAATGAAATTTGAAAAACAACCTTTTGGGTAGAGAGCCTTCTAGAGAAGAAAAATTATGATGGGTAAAAGGAAGTGGGAGCTGTGATGCGGGACATAAGTGAGCACAAAAGTTCTGGATATTCTGGAGGCAAATGTGCATCTGGAGGAAGAAACAGAGGCCCTCCAGAAAAAAACACAACCCTTAGTACTGTGTATAGGAAAGGGTCCCCTGCCATTGCACATACATTAGAATCCAGGAGCCTCTCCCTTTAGGGAAAATGTGAGGCAAAAACCTGATGAGGTAAGATAGGAGAAGATAAGATAAATTAAGATAAGATGACATGAGCTATCAAATGCCATAGACATTTGCAGATAGCAGAGAAAGATTGGCAAATTCTATACCTCAGTTTAGTTTCTGTGAGAAGCCATTAAAAAAAATGAATATGCATGGCGTCTGGCAGGTCTTCACTGGAAAACACACTTTAGGGTAACCTACGTGCTCAATTTTATTAGTCAGCAAGGAAATAAGAGCTAAAACCACAATGACATACTACTACTAGAATAAATGGAATGGAAAAAAATGCATAAAACACCAAGTACTGGTGAGTATGTAGAATATCTGCACTGTCATATACTGTTGGTTGGAAAACTGGTATTTACGCATATCACATGCTTGAGCAATTCCACTTCTAGGTACATGCTCAATATAAATACACCCAGGCTTACTAAACAGTATGTACCAAAATTAGAGTATTCACAGTAACACTATTTGTAATATTCCACAACTAGAATGCCCATTAGCAGTTGAATAGATAAGTAAATAGATAAGTAAAGAATAGACAAGTAAAGTTTGTTATATTAACAGAATTAACTATATATACCAATAAAAATGAACAAATTATTTCTACATGCAATAAGATGTCTGCAGCTCACCAATGTAATGTTGAGTGGTCAAAAAGACAAAAACAAAAGAATATGCATTGATTAAAAACCACAGGAGTTGATCTATGCTTTGAGGAGTCAGGGGTAGGAAATGTTGAAAGAGGAAATAAGGGGAACTTCTGAGATTTTGGTAATGTTCTGTTTCTTGATATGGGTAGGTAATGGTTCCATGAGCCATACCCAGTTTGTACAAATGTGTCAAGCTGTACACACTCTCTGAATATACTGTTTGTGAACACTGATTGAGCTGTGTACTTGGGATGTATGCATTTTTTTCTGTATAAATAACTGTATTACAACTAAAAAGTTTAAAAGTGGAATAAATCAAAAGACTGCAAGTTGTCAAGCATTTCAACAAACAATATCTATTTGACATGCCAATGGACCATATATGCCTCCCTAAGAAATGTTAATTATCTGTTCTTATATAAAAAACAGTTCAGAAAAACCAAAGAAATAATCCAAATAGCTAAGGAAATTTTTCTAAGATGAGTATGTACTATGTGAAAAACAAATAAATTCCAGGTACATGGAAGAAATAAAGACAAATCTTCCCTTGAGGAAGACTTTCTCACTCTAGGCTTCGCAGAAAACCACAGATAAGAGTTTTAACACATATGACTTTGTCAGAATAGACACACACACACACACACACAAACACAAATACACACAAACACACACAAACAAGCCATTATATGTAAGACTGAGCAAGAACAGTAGAGAGGAGAGCTAGATCCACCAGAGGGTTAGAGATACATTAATACATATATAACAAAAAAGTGTGTGATATATTTAAAGAGATAGAAGGAGGTTGGGACACATGAGTAAGGAGCAAGAGAATATAAAAATGACTAGGCATATTTCTGAAAGACTGAAATGAGCTTTCTAGAAATAAAAAACATACTAATTTAAACTTAAAGAAATGAACCCACTAATTAGACCCAGCTGAAGAAAGAATTAGTGAATTGTAAAATGGAACTGGAGAACTCAGTGTTAAAAGAAATGGTAAAATATCAAAGAGACATAGAGAAAAAGTGAAAAGGTTGGCATATGTATTATTGAAATCTTATAAAGGCAGAAAAGAGAGAATAAGGAAAAGGCAATATTTACAAAGGCAATAGCTGAGTGCTTTCCAGAACTGATGAAGGACATAGAATCCTGAGATACACGAGGCCTAGCAAATCCCAAATAGGATTAAAAACAACCAAAAATGGAAACTTATACTTAGATACATTGCTATCAAACTGCATATCAGCAAAGCCAGAGAGAAAAAGAAATACTCACAAAAGATAAAATCTGACTGACAAAGAATTTATCACCAACAATGAAAGAAACCAGGAACAGAGGATTAATATTTCTAGATGTCGAAGAAAATATATATCATCTTATAGTTGCATACCCAACAGTACCAAATCACAAAGGCCAGAGCAAAAATTAGAATATTTTCAGGTAACCTGCCATCGAGAGAATCTGCTCCCAAATTCCTCACGTTGGAAACATTAAAGAAATACAAGTGAAGAAGAAAAAATGACACTAGAATAAAGGCTGAGACACAGGAAGGAACAAGTAAGCTGCTAAGGGGACTGTGAGGAGTGTGCACCATGTTCAGCCCTAGTTTGTACACGTGAACCCTGAACATTGCCTTCCTTGATATCCGGAGGAAGAAAATGAGAGAATGGGCACAGCCTCTCCTTTCTTCTTTATCAATGTTACTCAGTATGCATTGCTTCCTACACACACACACTCACACACACACACACACACACACACTCACACACACAAAGATTAGATGTGTAAAATGGAAAAAATGATTTTAGGAAGGTTTGTAAAGTTCTCTACGGAATGAACTTCTGCAGCTGTGAAAGAATCTCTTGCCTTATGGAGAACAAACACGAGACTGGGTGGTTTGATGGAGCGCAGATCCCGGATCTCTTCTCCACTAGGCACCCAGACCAGTAACAGCTTGTTGTTATGAGCATGGGTTCTAGACGCAGTTTGAGAGCCCTCAGGAGGTCTGGGACTCTATGTCTTTCTTCACCTCTCTAGGTCCAGGTTTCACATGTGTTAATACCCATGTCACAGTGGTGTTGTGAGATGACATGGGGGCAGAGAACCTAGCACAAATTCACTGAATTTTAGCTGATGCTCTTTCAGTGACAGCATCAGTAATCTGCAGTCTTTGGAGCGGTCCCCTACATTTGCTACAAGGAGATTATGTATGGCCATCTGGCCACAGAGCACAGCACAGGGGCTAGAGGCACTGTGTGATTTGTACAGTAACACTTTACATATGATACCAAGCACCGCAGATAATACTTGTTCATTTAATAGGTGTGGATCTAAAATCTCAATGGGCTATACACTTCCTATTATTCAAACATCTTTTCAAATATTATTTAGGCTATTTTAATCAGATTTTCAGAAAACTGATTTTGGAATCAGCGCTGACAAGTTTTAATTTTAATTTTTACCAAATGCCACAAAAAGATAGCCTATAATATATTTATTTATATATATTCTTAACCAGTTCTTGATTGAGCTTGTTGGGTTATTACCCAAACCTAGTAGTGGAGAAAGATCTGTTGAGTAATAACCAAAAATAATACACATCAATACGAAAAGAAACTTCTTCTGTCATGTTATAAGAGATGCTTGCTTTCATTTTTCAGTTTAATAACCCCTTATTAAGACTTTGTGTTTCAGGCACTGTGACAGTCACTTGTTAACAAATAACTACTCATTAATACTTCTTGATATCAGAAACTTTATATCCTAACTCCACATTGTTTCTCGTGGGTACAGAAAGTGTTTTAGACCATTGTATGATGAGGAAATGATGCCAGATAGGAGGTGGTAGGATCCTTTCTAAACAATGCAGTTTGCTAAAATACACCATTTCCTGAAAAGGAAACAGACCACAAATGTTCTCCTCTTGAATAACCAGAGTTTTACCTAACTACTGGTAGTTCTAAATTTAAAATTGGACATCCTCTGACTAGTGCTCAAAGTAGAGGAAACCACGTATCTTCCTCATTTCTCTTTCCCTGTAACGCTTTGTATTACTACATTTATACAGCCTAGACGAGATAAAACATCCCAACTGTCTCTAACAATCACACCAAAGCGTGTTATCTATTTTACAGTCTTGGTTTGTTGTAAAATCTCATACTTACCCCGTTTCTCAGAGTGATGATTTCTGTCCACAGAGGTGCGTGAGAAGTCTGCCTGCATCAAGAAGAGAAACCAGCACTGCTGAGGGGACAGGAAATTGCACTCATATTTCATCATAACCAATGAGGAAGCAGCATCTTAATGGGAAGCCTAACATTATCCAAGCTTCAACAAAGAAGTCTCTTAAGTACTTTAAAAGATGTTTTGCTATTTACTGTACTATGATTTTATGACTTACTTTTCCCTTGGAGTCTTACTTACAAGTGCATACTATCTATGGGCTTTACTTAATAGAATGTGTACTAGGTAAATTCATTCATTTGTTCAGTCCATCAATACATGTATCTGTTATGTTCTTAGAGTATCGTGCTGGGAGGCATATAGGGCCTGGTTCTTACAGAAACAGGAGCTTATCAGCTAGTACAGGAGAAAACACTGTTCAATAATAACCAGGCTGCAAGGGCAGCATCACCAAGCACCACGAGACCTGTTCAGGTAAGGTAGGATGAATAATTTGGATGTACTAGATAGGAGAGGATGTTGTAGAACCATTTAGGGTGACCAAGTTCTCGGGAACAATACAGGAAAAGGGGAATGGGAGAGGACTGTTTAATGGTGAATACGGTGTGATTTAATAGCAATAAGAGGGGTAGGAAGATTGGGGGAGGTAAGAAAATAAGTAACTTTGTGAAGTCATTTTCTTTTTGAGGGAGTAATGGGGTTAGAGATATAACATTTGACTTTAGACCAATTTTCTCTTTTAATTCTCCTCTGAGAACAGAAAATAGATGGCTAAAATCAATTGAATTAGCTGGCTTAGACAAATACATAATTCTATGAAATCTGAAAACTCACTAGAGGCCAGGCATGGCGGTGCATGCCTATAATCCCAGCACTTGGGTGGCTGAGGCAAAAGAATCACTGTGAGTTCGAGGCCAGCCTGGGTACAAAGTGAGTTCAAGGCCAGCCTGAACTGCATGGTGAAACCCTGTCTCAAAAAAAAAAAAAAGAAAAGAAAAGAAAAGAAAAAAACTCATTAGAGAATGATATAAATTGTTATAAAAACTCATGTCATGCTTTAACAAGTTAAAAGTTATTGCTAAATCTGTAAGTGGCTTAATATGAAGTGAAATTAGCTCATAGAACTTCCTGCTTTTGAGATATAAAGCAGTTAAACATCATTTTTTAAACTTGTCCTCCCAAACTTTTATTTGAAATGATAGGAAAAATATTACTTTAAAGAGATGGAATTAATTTGGAATGGGACATTTTAATTTTAAAGACTATAATCAGAACACACTGAGTCGGGAGTTGTAAAAGGACATTAAATATTGTTGGTGGTGGATTTTTTTTCTACCTAGAGATCGGGTGATCTTGTGACTAATCAGGACTCTTCATGTTGGAATTAATCAGGGTACATCAGAAATGTAGAGGTCTTTATCACTTCTTTTGTAGGTCTTTCAATGAAAATAAAAGTAATACATTCATAAAGCACACAAGAGTTTGCAAAGTAAGTTAATATACAGAAACTGAAAAATTTGGAATGATTTATACCATTACTGAAATAGTGAAAACTTAAGGAACAATGAGAAAATTAACAAAAACCTCAAGGACTTATAAAAATGAAAGTAATTATTTCAGTTGATTCATGATTACAAGTCAAAATTCTCATTTTTTGCTTGGTTTTGCACATCTGCATATCCGTGGTTTATTTATATTTCAAGATTCTCACAGTCTCTTGTCTGTATAGACTATACTTCTGCTTTTAGGGAAAAAGTATTTTCATATCTGTGACATAGTTATACATTTTGCTCTTCAATAAACAAAAAAGAGCAAGAGAAGCATAAACTTTCACTTCTTCTGGTTAGATAGAAAAAAAATCATGACTGACCTGTGCTAGAATGTTGTCAAGACTAATTAGAATAAGAGATTTACCAACAGTCATGAATTTACTTCTTATTTAGTGTAAAAAAAAAAAGCAGTAGTACATTTTCATCCACAGGGTTGTCTAATGAATAGTTGGAAATATCAGAGCCTTGAATCATTGTGACATTTTAACATGAAAATGGGACAAAGCCAGTTAGCAGTAACTCAGAACAGTGGCTTTATGGGATCAGTGATCCTGGCCAGTCAGTTGTCTGGTTTTCTGAAGTTGTAAATTTGACACCCTTCACTGGCCTTTGTCAGGACACATGGGCTACACAGTGGAAGAGGAAATCTGCCTGCTTCCAACTTCTCATGGACAGACAGTGCAGGAGTTTATTCTGCTGATGAAGGAATTATTCCAGTATAAATTATTCCTTTGTGAGGACATATCATCTATCTGGTACAATTTTACTAAAAAACCTGCAACTAAATATGGCTGGGCAGGAGCTGAAAATACTCATACTTTCCAGCTCTATTTATTTTAACTCAGCCCTGTCCTTAAACATTGAGTTAGATGTGTTTATTGGGATTACTGAGAGGAGAGAG